TTGTATTTCTGAACGCGTGAAGATATTTATGTTCGAATTTTCGGCGTGTTGAGAAGAATTGTCTTCCTGTGATCAGGTGTCAGTGAAAGGATAAATTCATGATGTATGTTCTAATTACGCAGGCTCTAGTTTCAAGAAAAAATCTAATGTGTGCAGATTGATTGATCCTATTTAAATTTCGAAGGTAGGTTACACATGGGCATGAAAGATCATTTTTCCCTATTTTTGTAAAATTAAAATGTTCAAGAAACGAAAAAAGTGGAATTCATCCCAGAATTACGAATATTCTGGAATTGCTCACATTTTTATATTCACGTAAACTGTCATCCATCGAAGTAAAACTCGAATGATCTGGACTTATCAAGAACATTCAATTATTGTTAACCAAATTTTGATGCTTCACATTTTTGCATTAATGTTTTGGCAATTTTTACTTTTTATCATCCAGGAAAGAACGTCTTCAGAAAAACTAGGGTTTTGATGGAACGAATGGCCCGAAAAGTTCGTGACAGATCTTAAGTTCAGAAACTGTAAATGGGAAGATTTTGAACTTGGACCAAGCCAAAAGTTACTTTTACTTGGTTTACAATTTAAAAAAATCTCATCAGTCATATTGTCAAATTTTTGGACGTTGAAAAAAAGAAGCTCCGTTTGAAATTCTGGCGAGATTTTCCGTAGTGTTTTTCCGAAGTTTGTTGACCCCATGTCAACTTATTCCCTAGCCTAGGCGATGAAATGGCGATCTTTCGTTAAACCGCATGAGTGCATTTCAAGATAAGCGATTCCGTTTGACATATTTTGCAGGTTTTTCGTTGAAATGGCGATAAGGACGCAGGCGTGGTCGTGTTTCTCTCGCCGTAATCTCTGGAACGTGTGCAACACTGTACTTGGTTACCGAAAAACGAAACCGTGTTATTGAAATTTCCCGTGAGCTGCGAATTGGGGCGAGGTACGATGTGGCACTCAGTTCCTGGTGTCCCCCTGAAGTGCGCAATTGTGGCTCGGGTCTTTTTGGGGGTCATGGAAAACATTTGAACGGAATCCCGATTAATGTCTTGGGTACCTGTGGAGCCGTAGAGAAGTTCAGGGTCGCTAGATGGAGTTCCTTGGAAGAGAGGATATTTATTTCGTTTTTTTACATGAAGGCTGAAGGGACTACGGTTAATGCGGGAGATTTATCTCGATTACGGTACGTTTGAAGCATTTATTTTTCACACTTGCGAAATATTAATGGTTGAAAGAAGATTTAAACATTTTTTCACTCGTAACCATGCTCTCAGGAGAAATGAAGTTGGTTCACCACTTCAGATGTGATTTATGTGGCAGCCGTTATGATTGGAAAAATATTGAAGCATATTTGGAAGTAAAATAATTTGGATGCACAAATACAATTTGAATCAACTGGTACAACGATTTTGTGCCTTTTTCAGATGATCAAATGCCACAAATACAGAATACAGTACAATATTGCAATGAAAAATTGAAATTTATTAAAGGTAATTCATCTATGGCATTATTGTATATTGTACTTGCGAAGTACAGTACTGTACAATGCCTGTGCGTTTTTTTTTTCTCAAAATTTAGAAAAAATGAAGGTGTGCTTTGTATGCAGATGTAAAGTTCCAAAAAGGTTTATTAGTTTAGGTATGCATTATACTCAATTCTAATGGAAAAATTTGAACCAATTTTAGCAGAAACACTACTTTTAATGGAACAAAAGCAAATTCATCAGACTCAGGTTTTATTTATGTCTAGCTTCAATGCCAGTGTTTTGTTCTTGAGAAATAAGTTTTATACGGTAGTTGTAAAACTGATTTGGAAACTAGAAAAACTAAGTTCTACCTCACCTACTTGCTACTTCGAAACAGAAACATCATAGTTTTTACAAGTTCAGGTTGGGTCAATTTGAATTTTAATATGAAGCCAGCCTGAAAATATAGTATTTGTCTGCAACAGTTTTCTCTATACTGTATAATGAATTTCTGTTTGGTCCCAAGTATATTGAGTTCTGTATAACAAAATTCTGTCTGGAAAATTTTTTTATGGGTCCCTTGAATGTTTTTTTTTAGAGATTACACATGTTTATTAAAATTACTTATTGGCTTCATAACTATTGACAAGTCAGTAAGTCAGCTCACATCTACAAGTATGGTCTGCAGATAACAAAAAAGCTCAACCTTGCTGGAAGACCCAATATCCCATGGAAGCCCTAATCTTTAAGGCTGAAGTCCAAGCCTTCCAGCAGTACTCCTTCCAATACAGTATATGTGCTGATATTTTTGCTTGAGTGCTCAGCCCCCCTCTGGGCAAGGTTGCGTCAGCCGTCCATATGGTCCCACTGCTTCATGCGTAGGAACCAGGCTGGTGAAGTGGTGGAAACTCTTGGTCAGGTCATTATCATCCGACATCCCTGGTTTGTTGTGTTTCACACCACCAGCACTGCGCCGCATTGCGTTTCGCCCTCCCACATGTTTTCATATTCCCTTCCTTTCTGAAGCGCGCGTTTTCTTCCTGCGTGGCGTTCAACCCGTGGGCATAGCCGACAAGATCTCGTTTTTTGGAGTGTGCTTTCTCGGCTGAAACGGTCTGGAAGCGAGTTTCTGTGCCTCTCTGATAATGAGGAAACCTTTAGGTCGTGTGCGAAGAGTTCAGATACCTTTCGAACCGTGAACACACCCGATGAAAGCGCCCGTCTGTTGTGTAGAGTGATTTTTCGTTGCGTATTGTTCAACCGTGGTGGAATTACATCGGTGTCCTTCAAGCGTTGCTTTCTGCTTGAATTAGTCCTTGACGAAATTCAGAACCGGAAGCATTCGCGAATTGTAAGTGAAGGTTGGGGATGTAGGAAGGATTGTGTGATGGTGTTGTCGTTCGTGGACATTTCCGTGTTCTCTGACCTCGAGTGGGTGTGGATTATGCAATGATCTGAAATCCGTTTTATAAAACTGCTCTACGCTAGCGAACGATGTTCATCTTTATAATCTGAAGATCTTCGGATATTATGTGTTAGTTTAAATTGATTGTGACGAAACTAAACGCATTTATGGTGGAAAATGTTCGTGTTTTCCGTCGGAGTGATCCGTAGTGAGTGGGTTCTTTTGCTGATAATAATCTGAACCTTTTGCTGCATAATTTAGGGATGAATTGTCCTTCTGAATGTGCTCGAGGAATTCGCGAGTGGGATTATCAAAATGTGTGTTGTTATGCTGTTATGCTATATTAGGTCAGAGGGAGTTATTTTCATGGAAGAGTTTACGTATGCTAGACACAATGCAGCAGTTATCCATTCTGAGGAGATAATTGGGATAATTTCAAGATTTTCTGCAATATCTTCGTACAGTATTTGAGTGAAAGAACGAAATCATCTGTGTCACCTGACGTGATCGTATTTTCCGCTGAAATTATCTTTATCTTGTGACTTCTTCGCTGATGAAAGAGCTTAAGACACATATTGTATTATCAAATGTGTTCTTTTATTGGACTATGTATAGAATCTGCGATTGGAATAATTTAAAAGTTCGAATGAAGTTTACGGGAGAAGAACCCATTATCTTCGCCAAGTTCGCTTTTATGTGACGCAGTTGTTGAGATGAATTGTTCAACTAATGAGACTTGAAAACTCTCCAAATATTCTCAATATTTTTGAACTTTGGATTTGTTTATAAAGTATATTTTTCTCTGGAGTTCTATGTGGAATCAAATTCTATGATGGAACCCCGGAAACCTATCATTGCTTTTTTTCAATTGTATGAAATTGCATTCCTGAAAAAAAAAGGTCTCTTGAGTTTTTGCCATAGCCGAGTCTTAGATTTATTTATCTCAAGTTGAATCCAACTTTCCACTCACTGTGATTTTCTTTAGGATTTGCGGAGTCCCTTTGGAAGTTCATTATGAGGCCTGATGTGCTTCGCGGAACAAAGATTACTTCAACTTCGAAGAAGTGAAGCGTGTGATTCCTTGGCTCAGTGAACTGTTCTTCATTTTTCGGTTAATTTGCTAATTATTTAGTTCAAGGCTCGTATTGCATCATTAGAGACCGTGTTCATGCCTTCCACCTCTCAAGTCGCGACTCGCGAATCATGTGTACCTTGTACAGTGCCTATTTTTGGAAAACATCAAGTGAAGCAGAGAAGGTCCTGTAAGCGAATTCTGGGTTTCTGGAACATGTTTTAACCTGTTTCTCCGTCGTTGGCGTGTCTGAGAGTCGAAGTAGAAAAATGACGTCACGTTTTACGGAAACCGCGCATCAAGATGTCTTGTGGTTGTGAACTACGTGTTCAGTGGGCCATAGCCTCTCGTGGCGTGAAGTGCTTTGAATCAAATTTTTAGGTACTTCCTTTTAGTGAAATGAAAAAAAGTGAAACATTATAGAGTATCCCTTAACTGATCTGAACTGATTTCAATCGAGACCTCTGAACGCGGACGATGTGAGAGGTGTTGGTACAGTTGAGGTTTAGAGGAGCACCCAGCAAACAACCATTATATTATATTTTCAGAGTATTGTATTTCTGGTGCGTTAGTGAAAGGTTTGCGTCGATTCTATCCTGAAATTATATCTGTGTATCCAAGAAAATATACGGGAAAATTTTGAAAGGGAAAATATTCGATTCCGCGTGAACGAAGTGGTCTCATGGATTTTTGCGTTTTTCTGCGGGGAACTTTTCTCCTGCAAATGTTCGTACAAGAAGAAAATTCATAAATTTTCTCGTGATGTTTTAGTCGTCGAGTACTTCTTTTTAGTGAACTGCGTGACGAGAAGGGAAAACTTTCCATTTTTCCAGTTTTACGCGCATTCCAGTGTTCGAAAACCTATTCGACAGGTTAAAATATTTTTCTTCCATTGTTTATTTTTATAGAATTTTCAAATTATTTTGAAAGATGACCCAGTCTTCATCCCGGTTGCCTTGATTAGGTAGAATCACCTTTAATTTAATTTTGATATCTGTGAGTTTGACTCAATATTGCAAAAATCGTGTTCGAACTCATTTACTGTATAATTATTATTTTTCCTCTATTTGTGCTAGCAGGGTTTTGTGTTCGAAGTGTGAGAAATGATTCGTCCGGGAACATGCACTCCTCCAAAAATGCATTCCAATGGAAGGAATCTGGGCACTGTGACCCCGCCGTTGCTTCGGAGTTCTTTTGGAGATGAAACGCTTGGAGGTAATTTTGAAATTTGAAATTTAACTATACAGTAATATCAAAGCGTGAACGTTTTGTTTTGTCGAGCGATCTGACGGGATTTAGGCATGACATTCAGTTCTTGGTTGAGGATCGGATGTTGCATAAAAACGAGGCTTCTTTAAACCTCTATTACTCGGGAAGTTGTATTAGTTGATGAACTGGTCAGCTAAAAGTCCCATGGGTGAGAAAGGTGAAAATAATGAAAAAAGACACGCGTAATAATGCATGAAGTGCTCATACAATTCTAACGAATTACTGTCTGGTATTTGTAGTAAATTGGTGAAGCCAAAAAAATATTATCCGAGTGGCGCCGCGGAGAGATTTTCGTTAAAAAAGGGCTCCACGAGTAAAGAAAAACGTTCACGAGCCACCGCGTTTATTTTGTTTTCTTTTATTGAATTTAATTTTTATTGATCTAAATAAGAAATCTTATTTAGATCAACTCTAGACTTTCGTCTTGTTTTTTATGCAGATTCATGGGTGGACATGTCTCAGAATGCAGCACTGAGCTCCAGCAACCACAGCATGCACACTGCCGGGATCATCACTCCACCCGTGTATGCTGTGTCTGAAGAGTACCTGAAGCTTTTGAGAGATGCTCAACGCGAAAGTAACCAGTCCTCTGCTTTGGTCTCTCTCGCATCGTCCCGCAGAGACAGTCTTCATGGCTCGTACGTTTCTCTTCCTCTCTTCTGGCCCTTCTTTTTTTTCGTTTGTTTTGAGATGAAATGGGTGAAGACGAGGGTATGAGAGAGAGGAAAAAATTCGAGACGTTTTTCCTCTTTAGGCCCTGCTGCAAATCGCCGCCCAACAGTCCGAATAATGAGCTTTCCATTGTCGGTGACGACCTCAAAGGCGTCTTCGTCAATGGACGGGTAAGACATTTTATTTTTCATGTGTTTTTTTTTTAATGCGATGGTGCTTCGGTGAGAGGACGCTTCGGATAGCGAACTACTGCGTGGCGAATTTCCTGGTGGATCCCTGCATAAATAAACTAATTCTTTTCGTTGTTTAAAACATGTTATCCCGCGAGTTTCAATTGAACAATATTCAATCTGTTCCAGGCACTCGTAAAAAAAAAACTTGAAAATAGTGCATTTGTGCGAGTTCATCGAACAATTTTTCAATCATGAAATTTAAGTGATCTAGACGAGTTTCTGCTTTCAACTGCTGCATATTGGAAAGTGCATTGTGAAAAAATGTTGAAAATTGTATTTAAAAAAAATTATAGCTGCGAGTGAAAACGAGACAAAAGAGGCGATTAATGCGAGAAGATAGAAACCGTTCACAGGAAGTAATGAATACTGAATAGCCCCTAAAGTGATGATGAACTGCTTTATGAATGGAGGTGAGAATTCCATCCCTGTTTTTTTTTTTTTATCTGCACGTTCCTTCTCAACGACATTTGCTCCATCTCGGCATTTTTCTCAGGACACATTGTTTTTTTCTTCTTATGTTTCACAGGACGACGTTTCTCGTGATTGGATCTGGGATTGGAGCAGTCGTCCGAATGTCGAACCATCAAAGTGAGTCTTGCCATTTTCTTTCCCCACTCATCGATATTTATTTATTTTATTCTAATACAGTCGGACCTGTGAAAGTCGAATTAAAAGGAACCAGCAAAAAATTCGGTTCAGGGAGGTTTCGAATTAAATGAACAAGCTATTTTTTTTGTTTGAAATAAAAAGGAATCGCGGAAAATTTTATTGTAGTAATTGCTTCTTACATGAGTTGACACAAGGCTTGGGTTAATTTTCCGTATTAGCCTTTTACTTCATTTCAAAATACATCGAGTTACATTTAGTTTTCTTTCATTTGTTAATAAAACAATAGCCCGAAGGCCTCCAGAAAATTCGAGTTACGGAGGTTTGAGAGAAAGCTTTCGGTTAAGGAATTTTTAATAGAATTCCTAGGGAGGTTCAACGGTAGAAAGAAGTAGATAAGCGATGAATCCATTCTGAGTAGTGAATTTTTTTTTTTAAAGAAAAAAGCGACATGAATATGATGGAATGTGGTTTCATTTTTCTCATTTCACTTCTTTTGACTGCGAGGAAAAATCAATTTATTTTTGCATAACGTCGGAATGTAAACACGAGAGAGATGGAGAGAAATACGATTTCTATTATTTTTATCGATTCCAAAAGCGAATGAAGAAAAAATTGACATAAAGAGGTATTCGACTTGATCAGGTTCGAGGCTCCAAACTGTAATACTGTACACATCCGAGAAAGAAAAAGAGGGGAATGATTGATGCGATGGATTCGTTTGTTTTTTGNATACGATTTCTATTATTTTTATCGATTCCAAAAGCGAATGAAGAAAAAATTGACATAAAGAGGTATTCGACTTGATCAGGTTCGAGGCTCCAAACTGTAATACTGTACACATCCGAGAAAGAAAAAGAGGGGAATGATTGATGCGATGGATTCGTTTGTTTTTTGTAAATGCAGGGAATGGAAATTGAAGCATTCACGGAAACGGGGACTCAGCATCAGGAATGCCAAGGTCGGCAAGCAGTCATTGTTCTCCAAGGAAGTCCTGTACACGTTGATGCTTACGAACATACTGTCGGTGTTCATTGGCGCTTCGTTTGGGTGAGAGAGCTGACGTGACGTAGCATCAGGAATGCCAAGGTCGGCAAGCAGTCATTGTTCTCCAAGGAAGTCCTGTACACGTTGATGCTTACGAACATACTGTCGGTGTTCATTGGCGCTTCGTTTGGGTGAGAGAGCTGACGTGACGTCGATCCCATCGTCACTCCCCTTTTTTTTTTAATCGCCTGGGATATCTATTATCATTATCAACGAGTATTTCCTGATCCGTTTACTGTATATGAGTTGTCGTGTCTCGCGTATAGTAATTTATCTGCGCGATTGTTTTAGGTTTTTTTATTTACCATAACATTTTCTTTACCCTGAATTTTGATCATAGTATCTAGAAAACGCAAATTTATGCGCGGCGATACGTTGGGAATTTTTCGAGGGAGAAAAAATATGGTCGACGCATTTCAAGATTTCTTGAATTGTATGCCCTGAAATTTCGTAGGATTAGGTTGTTGTGGAATATTTCAACACGATGAAAGTTGTCGATTGTTGATGTTTTACGTTTCAATATATTCTTCGGTTTGATCTTTCGAGTAGGGGAAAATTCATGACATCTCGAATTTTGGCCGCATTTTTAAAAATAATGTAGCAGTCTAAATTCTATAAAACTTGAGTCCGTTTTTAGAATAAATTATGGTCGAATTATTTACGGTGTTCAAGGTGCTTCGGAACTTTTAGAAGACATCGTTCCAAATCTGTTCTCCAATTGAATAGAATCATTGAGAGATATATTTTTTAAAAATGCCTTGGTTCGCATCTTGGAATTGAGTCCGATGTTCCCTTCAAAATTCGTTTACCCAAATAATTTGTGACGGAGCTCCAATGTTGATGCAAATTTTTTTTAAATGAGGAAATACGTAAATTAACGTCGGAGATTGAGGAGTACTAAATTGACGTTGATTGATTGAGTTAATGTGACTTATGTCCTAAATCGAAAACACCCGAAATTAATTATTTTTCGTAATAGTACTGGAACAATTTTTCAAACTAATTCTTGTACACGCGTAAGTTCTCTCACGTCGTATTTTATGTATAATTCGTTGTCCCTGATGAATAAAATCGAAAAAAAATCTTCTTGCTTGGGTGCACATCTGGTGTGGAAAAGAAAAGAAAAAAATAGTACTGGCTTTGACACGTTCTGTCGCTGCGTTGTCACGGATTTGCCGGGTACTGATCTCGGGATTTCGATTAAAATTTACATAATCGTGTCAATGGATGCGACGCGTTGCGAAACGCGAGGGTACTTGAAAGGGAAAATGTTTCATTTAAAAATTGAACCAACTTGTGGCAGTATTAAGATTTTGAAACGACGGAGATTAAGTTTTGCTACGTGAGGCGTGCGTATGAAACGTTTCTGCGACGTCTTTCCGAGTGATTTTAGTTTATCAAGAGCTCAGTAAAAATAAAAATGAATATTGGAAATGAAAATATCCAGTAAATGTAAAACTGAATCCAGCCCCAAGAAGAATTGAATCTCACTGAAATTTCTGCTAGAATAATTTTTTGGGGAGGGGAAGAGATATTTTTTGACCGATTTATTTCTAAATCTGATTGCAAGAATGAAGCTTCCAGGTAATTTTGATATATTTTCTGCATGGCTGATCAAAATATTGTAATTCAGTTACGACTTCAGTACTGTGCTGTATCAACCCTCTTAATTACAAGCCAATTAATCTACATATGATCTAAATTGGTATGTGAATGCGATGATGATTATTTTCGTCGGATGGTTCATCGCCTTTTGCGCATCGACTCAGTTTCTTGTCTCATGTTTCGTTTTTTATTTATTTATTATTCATTGTATTTCTTTTGACACTACGTTGATGAGTCGTCGCAGCAAGTTTTCTTTATCACATGTACTAGTCTGACAAATTAATGAACTTGTGATCCGAATTAATCTCCGATGGTACTGATGATTATTTCCGTCATTTGGTTCACTTACGTTGGTTGGTTTTTTTTTTACGACTCGTCGTCGACTCGCTGTCTTTTGTATTTGAATGTCATTTATTTATTTTTCTCGACAGTCTTCGCAGCAAGCTTCATTTATTGCATTTATTTTTCAGACAAATTAATGAATTTGTGATTCAGATCGATTTCCGATGCCAATGATTATTATTTCCGATCTTTGGTTCATTTGCCTTTTTGCGCGTCTTCAACATAGAATACAGTATTTGTTTATTCAATTATGAATTATTCACTTATTTTCTTGACGTGTTGTGGCTGGTTCGTTGCAGCGATTATTCTTATTACTGTACTTGAACTATGATCATGATCATGAGAAATTTTCTGTAGCAATGATGATCGTTTCTGTCGCTTGCTTCACTTGATTTTTTGCTGGTCATCAATCAGGTGACTTCTTTATTTGATTGTCATTTAATTATTTTATTTTTCGTACAGTCTGTGGCTGAGTCGTCGCAGATAGTATTCTTATTACGTTTCCTTATTTAGACAAATTTATGAACTCATTTACCGAATCACGGTAATATCCAATAGCAATGATGATAATTTCCGTCATTTGCCTTTTTTGCGCGTCGTGAACTCGGAATATTATTTAATCAGTTGTCTTCCTTTTTTTTGGCTGTGGCGAAGCCTTTGCAGCGAGTGTTCTTATCACTTTTACTATTCAGACGAATTTATGAACTCGTGATCCGATTTTATTTTTGGTTGCGATGATGATCATTTTATTCGGCGTATTATCGATTTGGTATGAAATAGTTTATTAATATATTCTCTATTTTTTGGTGACAGGCTGTGGCTGAGTCGTCGCAGCAAGTACCTGGCGACGGTGGAGCTGATGTGAGACACGGGAAAGGAGAAGTGTCGACAGTTTTCTTTCTTTCTTTCTCTTCAAGAGTCGAATGAGTGGGATCAAGTGGAGGGCGCCACCATTTTCTGAAAGCTGTCGAGCCAGTATTGGAACTTGGATCTTTCCTCCTGAGTTGTATCATCATCATCATCATCTTCTTTTTTTTTAGCTTTCGTAAATCTCTCTTGGTGGAGGAGGCAGGGAAACAGGAGAAGAAAAAAATAACTGTGGGGGTTATATTTTTGCCTATCTTTCGTGTCCTTTTTCCCCGTGGTGGAAACAAATTTACTTTTGTACTCTATTCAAGCCCTCGCTTTTGATTTTGAGGCATTCGACTTGATGGCTTTTTGGCGCGTTGCTTTTTGGCTTTTTTTTTGTGTGGTAACTGAGGACCTCTTTCAAGTTCGATGTGGCTTTTTTTTGTGTGTTTTGGCGAAAGATCTGGTGCGGGATTCTTGGGTGGTACAAAAGGAAAAATAATTTTAAATAAGCCCTTGGGCTATTTTGTGGCTTTGGGAACACATTTTTGAGTTCTACTCTCGATAGATATTAAATCAAGGCATCTTAGTACCGTATGCAGATGCGGAAATTCTAGTGTTTTTTTTTTTTTTTTTCGAATATATGTGATTGAACGTAAGGCTCTTTGTGTTCCCAGCCACATAAAATAGCATTACAACAAAAAAACAATTGCCTTACGTGGGCTGGTGTAAAAAAAAAAACTTTAGACTAGATATGGTGTATAGACTCGGTAAGAAGGGTAACAAATACGGTTCTTTTTTTTTTTTTGAAGAAAAAAAAAACAAATCCTTGTCAAGCTTTGGAAGAATTCATACTCGGCTTAAACAAAGTAACTTGTATTGCCTGAGATCAATTTGTGTCTGTGATTTTTGATTCGATGAGTGACTGCGATTCGCGTTTGTTTTCTCTCGAATTTTTTTTTTTTCGGATGGAAACAAAATCAGTTTTTATCTTGAATGTGGTTAAACATAGACGTGGAAAATTACAAGAAAAAAAATCATGGGTATTCAAACGCATTTTTTCTGCTTCTTGAAGAAAGTTTTTGTACTGGTTATAAATGGAAAGCTGGCGTAGCGTTTCTTTTTTTTTATCGATTGGACTCTCGCAGACTCAAATTAATTATTACAAAATGGTTCGACTTTTAGAATCTCGTTATAAGGAATTATTGCTTATAAGGCTTTTTTGTTGGTCTCTCCACAAATTCTTTGCCGTAATTTTTTTTAAAGCTGATCCAGGTTCAATTTGTGGATTAATTGAGGTGAATCTCAGTGCAACGAATCTTTTTTTTAGCAAATCATTGTTAAAAGTGAATTCATTTTTGAGGTTCCTTCAGTATGCATACGTTTTAACATTAGTTGAGCCTCATTACGCCAAAATGTTTTATAAAATCACCTGGTCACATTCAAGTGTGAAAAATATTAAATGGAGAACATAGCTGGGGATTTTATTTTGCATCTTTCACTGGATGAAATAAGTTTTTTTATTGCTGAAGTTTTGAAGATACAAATTCCAAACAGGAAGTAATCAAAACTAACGTAATGAGTGGCACCCTGAAGTTGAATATGTAGTTTTAAGTTTATGTAAGTCAAAGGAAACCAAACCAATGCAGCTTTGCTTTGGTTTAAGGGATGGCGGAAATAAGGATAAGATCAGTATATATAGTGAAGGGTTTCCGTGATTTTGGAGGTCGAATTATTTTATTTCATTCAACAAATAACTGGACCCGCGGCGCCTTTATTAGATATGC